ATTTGTTTTTGAGCATTTCTTTTGTTAAAAAATTAATTCTATTATTTACTAGTTACAAAGTATTTTGTGAAATATCATATATTTATAGCACGGTAATCATTTATAATTTAAAATGGATAATAATATTATGTTTTATTTTTCAATCAAAATATCCCTCCAAATCCAACGTCAAAATAGCTGATTCAATACCGTAATGCAACTTAGCAAGTCCAATTTTCATCATTTTTAACCAATAATTTGCTTTATTTAAATTACCCATAATTAAGGCATTGTGCCATTGCATTGCCGGATCCAAAATTCCACCGAATAATAAATTTCCATAATCATTATGGATACTGTTACTGGTAAAGATCAAATGACGAAATTCCGCTCTTTCCGGATAAATTCCTTGTTCAATAATAAATGCTCGCTCAATATACTGCATCCGATTATTTAACATTTCCGCTTGTTTGATGCTTATCGATTCATGACCCGTATTAACTGACTACAAAAATTTGTATTCTCTTGCAATTTAACTGCTAATTTTGCTTTTCTTATTAAGTATATATAATTAATTCAAGAAATAATTCATCCTGAATCATAACAATCGAGCAATTTATTTTCTTCCTAACATTTATTATTCTCTTTTTTCTCCCTCTTTTTAACCCTTTTTTACATAACACTTTGAAGTACTAAAATTTAATTCTTCTCTTTTAAATTATTTGCTGTAAACAATGAAATAAAATTAAAGATGAATATTTTTGCGTAAATTCCATATAAAAATGAATAATTATTTAAACTAAGAAAAGCAATAGAAATGATTTTTAATAAAAGCAAATTTCTAATTTGAAAATATATACTAAAAAATTATATAAAATAAAGTGCTAATTTAATAATACCTGAACAATTTCTTGTATTACATTTGTAACAACCTGAAATCGTGTTAATGCTTCGCGTAAATTATTCAAAACAACGCGATATGTTTTTGCACCAACAGCTTTTGGAATTTCGATATATTCCAATTGTTGATCCATTCGATCGATAAAATCAGACAATACCAAACCATAATCGTGTAAATTAAATGGAATTATCTAAATTAGGCAGAAAAAAAAATGGTGCATCCTTCAACTTTCTCTAACTTTTTTCATTTTTAATTTTCATCTTCTTTTTAATTGTTTATCATTACTTTATTAAGCTAAAATTTGGCTCCTATTTTTTTTATCTAAAACACCATACGGTATGTTTTTGTTTTTGGCACCCGAAACTTTTGGACCATATTACATTTGAAAGCACGATATCTCGTCCCATCTGTTAAGTTAAGCAACATTAACCTGGTTAGCACTTGGATCAGAGACAGTCTGGGAATCTCAGGTATTGCGGACATTAATTTTTGTTTTTTAACAAAACTTTTATAGCAAGCAATCAAGTGCTATCGAGTGCATCAAAAACTCATCAATGTTTTGGAGACTGACTGATTGATTGAAGTACCCAAGTTTGAGTTAACTGGATGTTTCAACCTAGAGTTTTAGTTACTATAGCGTGCTTGAAGTAAAATTCTCGAACATCATGCTCTTTAACGGAACAACAAGTTAGATCCAAGCAAGGTGTAATGAGTAATGAGGAAAAAAAAATGTCCATTCGTGTTTGATCACGTTTACGTTTGGAAGTAGCATATCCTGATGAAAATAAATATTAGCAAAGAATGATATGGCTAACTAAACTATCCGCGATATCTCGTCCAATTTCAAGCCATAATTGTCCCATAGCCATTAATGCGGTATAATTTCGATCAAAAAAATTATCCAATAGCCAAGGAATTTCATACATTGTATGGTAAAGCATATATGTATATAATGGAGCACTTTCAAGTTTCATATCAATCACCGGAATACCCAAATAAGTTAGAAAACGCTTAAATTAATTTAAAATTATAATTTTTATTTTAAAACAAATTATTTTAAGAGTGTTGCAAAAATATATTTTACAAAGTAAAAAATATATTTTATCTTAAATTTTTACATCAATTATAAGATGACAAGAGACAGATGAAGCGTAAAAGTATGAAAAACAATTAAAACAACCTGAAAATCAGATCCAGTTCCGGGTATACCAATACCGGGAATTGATCGATCACCGGTAATCGGGCCTTTCGGATCATAAAATTTCCAAGAATCTAATAATGTCATTCGTTCTGCTCCTCGTTCCAACGTATTTGGACTTCCTACTCTGTTTTGACCAAATTAAAAACATTTGAAGAAAATAGAAATTGTAGTTTAAATTTTAAAGTTTAAATAAAATAATCATTTTTATCAACGATATGTTACATTTTATCATACCACATTGATACAAATATAATCTATAATAAAAATCTTATAAGTTAATATGATTAAAACGAAATATATTATATATAGTATATTAAAATGAATTAATTAAATTAAATTTTCTTCTCGAATCATTTTAATAATATAGCATGAATGAATAGATTTGTAAATTTTATCATTATAATAACTTGTAAATGTACGTCAATTTTCTATTCATAACTTTTATTTCGACAATCTTTTGAATAATTATCCATATACCTACGCTATTTTTGAACTAATATTCATCCTAATAATTTCATTTCAAATGTAAGAGAAAAAAAAAACTTAGGAGCGGAAATTTAATCTTTATTAAATAATTTGCAAAAAATATTATATAATAATAATTGAATAATTACTTAGCAGCTGCGTTGACAATAACACGATAAAGCAATGGAACAGCTTTAACAGAGAGTGACGTATCACCGTTGATATTATCAATATTTATTACAGCAATTGCTCGTTGCTGAAGCGGTTTCATAAATTCTTCCACCCATTCTGTACTTCCTTTAAAATAAATTTTTAAATTATTAAATTGTTAAATTTTCAGGAAAAAAAAAGAATTTACAATTTGACGTAATATTCTGTGAAAAAAGAAAAAAAAAGCGTGCTTACCAATAAGTCCAAATTCTTCAGCATCCCATAAACAAAACATTATTGTACGTCGTGGACGCCATTTTGCTGTCTTTTTCATTTGTGACAATACTCGTGCCATCTCAAGCATAGTACCGGTAGCAGAAATTGGATCGATTGTACCCTAAAGCAGAAAAAAAAATTATTTTCTCTTTTCTAGTATTTAATTTAAAAAATTCATTAGTATTCTATTGATCAGACAATAATAAATGTTGCCACTTTTTTACTTTTTCGTTTTACTTTCTTCCATCAGCATGGATAACGTTTTACGTGAAACATTTATTCCTTAAAACATTTGATTTTTTTTTTATTTCTAAACGTAAATTTTACGTATTGAATAAAAAAAAACAGGGCAAAACATATAAAAATTTCAATAATTTCAAATTTCAATAAACGTAATTTTTACATTTCTTATTAAACAATGAATAGTCACAAATATTTATGAAAGGAAAATATCACGCAAGTTTAGCATCTGTTTAGTTTAACAAATGATAAAAAAAAATATGAATATGAAATATATTCATCAATCTTTCATTCTTCCTTTCATCTATTTTTTTTCCTTGCGAAAAAAAAAAATTTTTTTTTCACCATAAGAAAGTACGCATTCATTTTATTCACTTATCAATACAAATAGAATAGGAAGCAAAAATGCATGTAATTAAATACACGTATTAATATAATTAAATATAAATATAAGTAATAAACGATTGATGTAACAAATTCAGAATTATAAAAATTGTTGTTTATATTATTTTCTTTTATTTTTTATATAACTTATGCATTTATGATACTTTGAATTATATCGATTAGTCAAATAATTAATTACCGATTATTTTATTACTTTGAATAAAATAATAATACCTTAACCCAAGCATCGTAATGATTACTGAACAATACATAACGATCCGGTTCCTCACGTCCAAACATCGTTGCTACAATATTTGTAATGATACGACGTGTACAAGCAGAATGTACAGTAACTCGGAATATTGCTGATCCCGTGATACGATATGTTACATTCATAGATCCAATCCAGTCATGTAACTAAAATTTAATTCAAATAAGGCTGCAATCATTTCATCCATTGATTATTTATCGGGATAATAAGTTTTTTTTGTTATAGTTTCAATTTTTTGATTGTTTGAAATGGTAATTTCTACTGGAGAAATTGCATAAAAATGAAGAAGTAAATGTTAGCATAACTTAAAATCAATATATAATTAAATAAATAAACGAAACAAGTAAGAGCTAAATAATTTACTGTATTTTAAAATTGAAGTATATCCGAATAACATACTTAATTAATTGAAATAATTAAGAAAAAAAATATAGAGAAAGTTTAACCTTAATTTGTGGTCCATTAAAATTTTCCATTATTTTTCGAGCATCTCTGTAACCAATAGGCATTACCGGAATTGATGGCATTATTTGTCGTTGGCGTAAATTTTCCTCCGTTTCCGTACGATAAGTGTAATATTTCGATGGTAATAACGGTGTTTCCGGATCACCATCCGTTTTAAGTAATGTTCCACGTTGTGCACCTGTTTCCGGTAACCAGATTTCATTTGGAAATACCTGCAATATCATTTAATAAGAACAATTCTTCTCTTATTGATAAATATTTGAAAAATAAATATAATTATAAAGTTTTCATATGCAAATTCAAATTAGATAATTAAAATTTACTTTTTATTCTGAGTAGAAAAAAAGGAAGCATTTTATGATTGATTTAAATTCACTCAATTTTCTGCAAAAAAATTTGAAATTTATGTAAAAGATATGAACGAATTTCTGTTAGCATCCACGTAATTCAATTTAACTGCTTTCGTTTTTCTTTCCCCTCTCTCTCTCTCTCTCTCTCTCTCTCTCTCTCTCTCTCTCTCTCTCTTTCTCTCTCTCTCTCTCTGTCTTTAAAATAACCTTCACATTATTTCGTCCATTTGTGTAATCAAATGGGTCACTGTATAAAATCATTCCAATAGCGCCATGTTTTACAGCAAGCTGCACTTTATCACCACGAAATATTGCACCATAACGACATAATGCTATTTTACCTTTCAATGAAATTCCAATCTGAAATTATTTCCACCCTCATGGTAGTAAATAAATAATTCTGGAAATTTTCCGTTTGATGTGCACAAATATTCCAATGATATTTTCAATGAATAAGTTTGAAATGATCAATTTTTAAGAGTATTTTAATAACTCTAAAATATGTCAAAGGCTTAATTGTCACCCTGGTAGTAATGATCTACTTTTTTTTCACTTTCTTTTTCTTCGCAACAAGAAAATCATGCATTTCGATAGTTGTATTAATTAAAATATCAATGAAATCTATGGAAAATTTTGATTTGATAATACAATATACAGTATGCCGTCTAATATTGTGTTTAGCCTATGATAAGCCAAGCATATAATAAGCCTAGTGGTGGCAAAATAATAAATTATATCTGGTGGTAAACATTGATACAATAATGTACAATTATGCTTCAAATATAAATTTTACAAAATTCTTAAAAAGTTACAAAGTATATACAGAATTCTTTTTTTACAAAGTATATACAAAACTCTTACAAAAATATTTGAATGATGATATTTGAATATGTAAATGATGAATTTAAATACAAATATTCCCGATATAATCAGAAATAATTTTAGGAAAGTACCTATTAAATCAAACAAAGAGTTAATATTTCATAATTCAAAACAGTAACAATCAATTTATAAAGCAGGAGTTTTTCCTTTTCAATGCGTGTTAAATCTTTTAATTAAAGAATGCTTAATTAATCACGAAAAACTTTAAAACCTAATCTCTTATCATTTTCAATAACGTTAATTTCACTTTTTCGTATTTATATTAATATTGAAATAATATAAGTTTTGGTAAACTTCTCTACCATACATAAAATAAACAAGAAAAGAAGCAAATTCGTAAGTAAATTCATAAATGATTAAAATATTCTATTTTCAATGATAATAAAAAACTTTTTGCCTTTTCATTTTTTAATATTTCAAAAAAAATAAATAAATATTACAGGAACAAGGATATGTGAAATAAATGAATAATAATTACTGATTGAAATTAATAAATTAGTAACATTTGTAAACCTTCTCTAATCCTTTGTAATCATCGATAGTTCCGTAATTAACATAAACTACTTGTCCAATAACTGTGCCATTCTTTGAGTAAGCCGCCCAATAAACCAATCCTCGCGGATCTGCTTGCTAAATTAGTAATTTAATATGAATTTAATTAATTCAACATGAAAGATTCAAATTATCAGTAAGAATATTAGTAATTTTATGAATTTTGATCAAATTAACTTGCTTGTTCTTGTGCTTCTTTTGGGCCAAGTCGTTTAGCAAGGCCATTGCTAAGCTCTTTCCATTTTTCACCACCCATATGTAGCTCAATCCGATTTGGTTTCTCATAATTTGGATAATTCAATAAAACATTGTAACTGTAAGTTTTCACATCATATTCATACCTCTGATACTGCAAAATTCATTCATGATTTATCAATTAAAAAATTTATAAAAATTTAATAAAACATCACTTTACTTTGACTAAATTTGGTAGCTTTTTTTCAATTTTTATCAAATCAAAATCTTTATAAAATTTTGATAAAATTTCTTATGCAGCATTAGCAGGCATATTTGAATTAAAAGATTTCTGTTACACTGAGCAATAAATTTGCATAATTTTTAATATTTCAAAATTATAATAATTATTAAAATAATTTATTGTGACCTTATCAGCGATTTTCTTCATAAGTTCAACATTTTCTTTGGTACCCGCAACATGCATTTTTTCAGAGAGCCATTTGATATTCTTTTTAATATTATCAGCGTCAAATGCATCCATCAGTTGTTGACTAATTTGAGTTTGCTGTAAAAAGTTTCTCTTCAAATATAATTTGATCCATTTAAAATTGACTTTGAAAGTAAAAGGAAAAAGAGATGATTGAATTTCAATCGGATATTAAAATAGAGATAAATGGAGTGTAAAAATGAAAATAAAAGAATAAAAGTAAACAGAATATTATTTTTGTTGATTGATGAAATAACTACTCTTTTTTCAGTTATTTATATTACATAAATGCATGATATTGTTTTGATATTTGATATTCTTACTTAGTGATATCAAATGTGAAATATTAATTTGATAGAAGAAAAAGAGATAAAAGCATACGAATGATTAATTGTAATAAATAATTGTGAATTGAAATAAAAAAAAAAAAAATTGAAGCCAATTGAAATATATCTTTATAAACGATAGGTAATTTTGCTATTTTTTTCATTTTGTTACAACTTTTCCATTCAAAATTCTTATTTAATTATTATTTGCAAGCAAAAAAAAAAAGCGATAGATCGGAACTTATACGTTTTAATATCATTATTCGACTTTTTTTTTAATATTATGCTTATTATATGACCCATCATAAGCACCAAATACCTATTGCAGGTAACAGATATCTATCATCAGTAATAGTTAAACTAATCACAGTTAATCGTGGTTAACAAATCGTTGATAAAAACTATGTATCGTAAGTAACACTCACCAAACATGGGTGATAGTCACTAATCAGGTGGCAGTTATTAGTCGTAGGTAAAAATTATTAGATATGAGTAACAATTATCAATTGTGGCTAACAGTTGTCAATCGTGGACAGAAGTTATCAATCGTAAGTAACAGTTAATTAATACAGTTAATTCATAGGTAACCAACCCTTAATTAATCACAGTTATCTGATAGCCAGGTGCTCTTTCCTTCTATTTCATATAAAAGAGGAAAAGGAAAAAAAAACAAAGCAGTTTTATAGCATTCTAAATTATCAATCACTAGTATGTTGAATATAATTCGATTAATTTATAATTTTTAATATCAATGTGTCATATGATGATTGAAAATTATTGATATTGAACAAGCTTTGTATTTCTAATAACAAATATAATCAAATTGATAACATAAAAAAATTTACGCTAACTGATTCATAAATGCCGTTAAATGATTAATTAATGAGCAATTCATAATAATCAGTTATGAATTAATGTTTCAAAAATTTTTTCAAAACTTTATTAAATTTATCAATGTTAAAATTAAATGATGTAATAGCAAAATGAGAAATGAAAAAGAAATGATTAACCTCAGCTGAATTTTGACGTATACGATGTGCATATGTGAAGGTAGTATTGAATGATGAATTCCATTTACCTGTGGTAGTTGTAGTAGCACGTTGTGTACTCAAAAATATCACTATTATCAGTAATACTGTTATCACCATAAAAAGTATCAACACAATGCATAGTAGTAGTGATATTAAAGAGGTATTTTGTTTCATCAAAATTCTTGATTTCATTTCCAGATTTGATTTTCGATTAATTATTTGATATAACGCATTACTACTATAATTTAATTCATGTCGTTTAATATTTTCATTCTTTCTGCTCGTATTCTCCCAATCATAATTACATTCCATTATTATACAACTACCAAAACTTTGCCGTTCCTTTCCAGTTAATAATAACCAATTAAGTTCTTCTAAAATTTAAATTATAAATTTCCATTTGCTGTTGTTATTTTATGTGTTAAATAAAATTTTATTTGTAAATTAAAAATTATTA